TCTTCCTTCCTCATGATGCCATCTATTTTGTGAAGTGCCCCAGTCCCTCCTGTGGCAAAGCACCCCCACAACATGATGCTGCCACCCTCATGCTTCACAGTTGGGATGGTGTTCTTCGGCTCTAAGGCCTCCACCTTTTTACTCCGGACATAACTATGGTCATTGTGGCCAGACAGTTCAAATTGTGTTTCATCAGACCAGAGGACACTTGTCCAAAAATTAAAAACTTTGTCTCCGTGTGCGGCTGCAAACCGTATTCTGCCTTTTTATGGCGGTCTCAGAGCAGTGGCTTCTTCCTTGCTCAGCAGCCTTTGAGGTTGTCGATAGAGGGCTCGTTTTACTGTGGATATAGATACTTTGGTACCTGTTTCCTCCAGTTTCTTCACAAGGTCCTTTGCTGTTGTTCTGGGATTGATTTGTATTGTTTGGACCAAAGTAGGTTCATCTCTAGGAGACAGGATGCATCTCCTTCCTGAGCGGTATGATAGCTGCGTTGTCCCATGGTGTTTACACTTGCATAGTACTGTTTGTACAGATGAACATGGTACCTTCAGGCATTTGGAAATTGTTCCCAGGGATGAACCAGACTAGTGGAGGTCACAATTTTTTTTTTCTGAGGTCCTGGGTGATGCCAAACTGCTCAGCAGCCTTTGAGGTTGTCGATAGAGGGCTCGTTTTACTGTGGATATAGATAGTTTGGTACCTGTTTCCTCCAGTGTCTTCACAAGGTCCTTTGCTGTTGTTCTGGGATTGATTTGTATTGTTTGGACCAAAGTAGGTTAATCTCTAGGAGACAGGATGCATCTCCTTCCTGAGCGGTATGATAGCTGCGTTGTCCCATGGTGTTTACACTTGCATAGTACTGTTTGTACAGATGAACATGGTACCTTCAGGCATTTGGAAATTGTTCCCTGGGATGAACCAGACTTGTGGAGGTCACAAATTATATTTCTGAGGTCCTGGGTGATGCCAAACAAAGAGGTACTGAGTTTGAAGGTAGGCCTTAAAATACATCCATAGCTGCACCTCCTATTGACTCAGATGATGTCAGTTAGCCAATCAGAAACTTCTAAAGCCATGACATCGTTCTCTGGAATTTTCCAAGCTTTTTAAAGGCGCAGTCAACTGAGTGTATGTAAATGTCTGACCTCAACTGTACATACATATGCAGATTTATGCACAGTCCACACTCAATGCACATGGATAGAAGCACACACTCATAAAGACTGAACCTCATACTGCCTTGCCCTTGTCCTTGTCCTCACCCTCAGAGAGTGTAAATAGTCTTTTCTCTCTAGACCTTGTTCCTTGGTCTGCAGCTTTGCTCTGCAAGACAGATTTTTCTCATTTGATATATTCAGGTATTTCAGTCATTGTGGAGGAGAATTCTGAAAGAGATTTTCAGAATGAGTGTTTGAATCATCAGCTTCAAAAAACTACAGTGAAGTAGCTCAGTGTCAAACCTTCTGTTGTGATTGAAATATTTTTTTAAAGAATCCAGTACCTGTAGAATCTGATGTTTCTGGCTTTTAAGTTTGACCTTTATTTGTTGCTCTGTTTGTCTCTCATTTAGGCTTTTGCACTAACAAAAGGATTTTATACCACTTCATTTGGTTAAATATTCAATAGAAAATTTGTCATTCATAGTTGTTCATAAAATAGAATGTACTGTATTTCTGATAAAGAAGACGGAACACATTTTAATATCACTTGTTGAAAACATAATGATAGTGTACTTTTATTAAATAATACATATATCTGTCAGAGCAGTAGGTTGTGATACATTAGGGGTTAAAAAACTGCTTATAAATGATTTTAATGCAAGGTACAGGACTTTTCTGTAGCAGAAATGACTCTTTCAAGTGTTTTCTTCAGAAAGCCTTTCTGTCTCAAGCATTTAAAATTTGAGATTCCTGTTTAGCAGTAAATGGTGTAAACCATTAGCTTTGCTGTTGCATACCACTGAGGATGTGCAGCGACAAAGGAGGATCACTGTTAATTGGGGCACTAGGGGACTCACTGTG